GATTAATTTTTTTTCTTATATCTCAACAAACATCAAAATATTCCAGACAAATATAAACTGAATTTTCTGGGCTCAGCCATAGCTACAAAGTGTCAAACTGAGACCCTTAATCAGGAACTGCAAATCTTATCTTCATCTGCTCTGACTGTGCTGTCACTGCTGTAAACCAGGCTTTGAGGAAACCCTAGCAAGTCAGACCAGGACAAAGCATATATACACAATAAATCCTACTACAATCATCCAAAGTGGCCTGAATTCTGCTTTTGGTTTGTTTTATCTTTATTTTGTCAGTTTCTGCTAGCATTTAGCTACCATTTGTGTAATATCTATGGGTTTTATACAGCTAGAACTATGCTTAGATAGAAACTGCCACTTATCCAAGCTGAATGATGAACAAGAAGGAAAATATGCCTGCTAAAATAGTTTGCAAAAGTTCCACTGACATTTTGAAATCTTTCTCCCAGTCTTATAGCTGGTTAAAAAGGGCTGAAGCATTTGAAATGTCTGTTTTCATTCCGTTATTATTTTTAATAAAAATTTGGAAGAACAATACAAATGCTCATGGAAACACTGAACCACAGAATAATTCAAAGAACTATTGAATAAAGGCTGTCAATTCAGACCAAGAAAACAACTTCCATTTTAAAGACAAATAAGAGAATTTTAACACTAAACTACTGAATTTTCCATTAAAAATATCTATGGAGACAAAGCGTGGCTAGCCCCTAAATACCCGCAGTTATCCGAAATCAGTACTACTTTCCCATAGGGATTCATCTTGACTACTTACACCGAGATAAAACTGTAGTGCTTGTACCCGTAGTGAGATCAACGGCCTAAAACTCCATCACACCTGAATGGCTGAGAAAAGCCAGACAACTAAGGTACCCATCAGGACGCCAAGTGTAAAACACTGGCAACTTGCTTCTTGACAACTGTTGAAGACCTAGACGATGCCTGGAGTCATTGTTTCAAAATGCCTTGCTATTGTATCAAGAAACAGTAATATGAAAAAGACAGACTCTTTAAACAACATTTCAAGGTGCTACACGTTTGACATGTTCAAACTCTTCCATGTAGACT